GGAGTGTGTGTGTGTGTGTGTGTCTGCTGTACACTGCATGAGTGAACTGAACATCCAGCAAATCTGCTGCTGGAATGAGGAAAGAGAAACGAGACGCAGGTTGATGAAGTGAAACTGCTGCTGCACACACACACACACACACACACACACACACACACACATGCAAACATACACACGCAAACACACACACACACACACACACGCAAACATCCAGACACAGGCACACGCACAAAGAGATTCACACACGCACAAACACATACACATACAAATACACACACGCACACACAAACATACAAACACAGGCACATGCACACGGAGATTCACACGCACATACACACACACACACACACACACAAACAAACACACACACACACACACACACACACACAGACACAGGCATATGCACACAGAGATTCACGCACACACACACAAACACACACGCACACACATACACGCAAACATACAGACACAGGCACACGCACACAAAGATGCGTACAGACATAGACACATACTGAATACACACATACACACAGCCACACACACATACTGAAAACCCATCTATGACATCATCACAGGCATTCAGATGACAGCAGCACATGACTGTCAAATCACATCATGACATCACACCATCAGCAGTCCCTCACCGGGGGTTTCAGCAATATCGCTGTACACTCTCCATGATCAGAGCTCTACAGCAGGAGAATAACGTGTGTGTGTGTGTGTGTGTGTGTGTGTGTGTGTGTGTGCTGAATCACATGTATTGTGTTGTTTCAGGAACTTATATTCAGCCTGATCTGCCTGTATTCAGCAGACGTTCATCATTAGCATATGCAGATCAGACACTGGGTGGAGCTATAGAGTCATTTACACTCCACAGCAACACACACAACTGGACTGACACCGCATGCACCACAGGACATACAGAGTGTGTGTGTGCAGGACGCACCAGCACCGGGCCAGATACATGTGCTCCTTCACCAGCACTGATCCCGACAGAAGGACGAACCAGCAGGTGGAGATGCTGTCAGCGCTGAAACACACACACACACACACACACACACACACACACACATTATAATTTCTCCTTGAGTTTTAACAACATGTCTGTAATTTCATCCTGTGTATCAATATTTTAAATGTATCCATCACTTTTTATTAAGGTTTATTTATTAATCCATTTATTTAGTTATTTTAAAATGTTCAACTCTTGCTATATTTCAATGTCAAATGTCCAATATATGGATCAGAATGATAAACAAAGATGAACTTTCAGGGTTTAGTTTTCAGGTTTATCTTGAGACTGAAGATGCATTACTGCACAGTCGAGTGTGTTATCTGGAGTGTGTGTTGATCCGGTATCTGGCCGTACTTTCTGATCACTATAATTATTTGAACCATTAAAATCAAGTTCAGAAATATCATGGCAGCATTAGTTAATGTACTGTGAGTTTACATGAACAAATACTGTAATAAATGCATTGCTCCCTGTGTGTTCATGTTAGTAAATGCATTAACTAGCTCAACCTCACTGTAAAGTGTTACTAAATAAAATGAATCCAAACGAAAACTAATGTGTGACAAACTGAGAGACTAGAGGATGCACTTACTAGAAGAGCACACGGCTGGCCTCGTAGCACTCATACCTGGCCGTCATGCACATGGACCTGATTAGGGAAATCAGTATTGTTATTAATCAAGGATACATTAAACTGATCATAATGGACATTAAAATTAGGTCTGCATGATACTGGGAAACACATACAGCAATCTACATACAGTGGAGGAAATAAGTATTGAACACCTCATGTGTTTTTCCTCAGAATAATATCTCTAACGGAGCTGTTGACATGGAACTGAAGAAGATTTTGGTAAAAACTCAAACAATAAAACATAAAAATAAAACTAATAATAAAAAAAGAATTGTGTTTAATAAGTATGGAATGACAGAATGAGAAAGCGCTGAACTACTGAAATGTGTTTAATACTTTATATATAGACTTTATTAGTGACGGCAGCTGAAAGACACCTCTCATGTGGAGAATGAAGCCTCATGCACTGCTCAGGGGTGAGTTTCTCACAGACTTCAACAGAGTGTCAGAATCTTGATGCTTCTGTGGGTCTCGTCTATCAAATCTGAGCTGTATTCTGTATTCTCTATTGGATTCGGGTCAGGGGATTGGCTGGGCCATTCTACAGCTTGATTTTCTTTCTCTGAAAGCATCTGAGAGTCTCCTTGGCTGTGTTTTGGATCAAATGTCTGCGGATCAAAATGTCTGTGTCTTGCTGAAATGTCCACCCTGGTTTGATCTTCATCCTCCTGCTGATGTAGATGTTGGACTGAAGCAGCTGATCTTCATTTACACTGAGGAAGAGCGGAGGATTGCTGAACAACTACTGAGAGATTTCAGCTGCTGTCTGGGCTTTCACTGCACAACTACACCCCCCTTTCCTCATGTGTTCAATACGGTTTTCCAGAGTTATTTTTATTTTCTTACACACAACTTCATTTGTGAACTAACTAGATTAGTTTCCTTTGCTTATACGGATTTCTTTGGTTGTTATCAACATCTAGTGGACAACTCAGCACCTTTAGAAATGTGTGTTCTGAGGAAGTGTTCAATACTTATTTTCTCCACTGTGTATATATACAGGGTTGGCCATTTATGTGGAGACACCCTAATAAAACTTGGGAATTTCACAAGAAAAACAATGCTGTGCTTGGTTTTAACGTAATTTTATTCTTTCATGAGTTATTTACAAGCCTCCTCGCATATACTAATGTGCCAAAAACAGGACGTTAATATCACCAACCATTGTTATTTATTAAGGAGTCTGCATATAAATGGCCCACCCTGTATATTGACTTTGTATTGCAGGAGTGTGACAAAATGTGAAGCTGACGAGCTAACAAAAATCCAAATCCGAGTTTTAATAATCTGTTAACCTCAAAAATCAAGTATTTAACCCCACAAAATGAAAGTGCATCGTCTGGCATGAGAGAGCCAAGGCTCCCGCCACTGGGGCGAAATGTAAACTATAAAACAAACACAATCCAGACCTACAGTGTTTACAAGCTTCTGAACTATAAAAGCCATGAAAATAAGACGAGTCAGTCTGATAATGTCTGCAGCACGCATTTACATCAGTGACATCAAATAAAATATCAGAATTCTGACCACTATTAGAAGCACTTGAGTGTGGAGCGAGAAGTCTGAGCGTGTTCTGCTGTGTATTATTGCTAATCATTTCTCCCATTGATGAATGAATCTGAAGAAAGCAACCGCAGACACCAGCTTTTACTTCTGCATCACAACAAAAGGTCAATAATTAGAGAAAATGATGAACAGACTCACCGGAGCTGATGTTCTCTGAGGTGCGACAACACGTCCATGTGGTACAGATGAGTGTAGATGATGTTCAGGTCCTAAACAACACACACATTTCAACAATTTATTAATTTATTTCATTATAATATTTAGTTATGTACACATGAGAGGAGTATTTATTTAACCACACAACTAACATAGATACAGTGGGACACCAGCGCAACATCTCAGATCATTACAGTGTCTCCGCCACACACACACACACACACACACACATTCCTCTTACAGAAACACACACGCTCAACACTTTGCACTGAGAGCAGATCTGAATAATTGTTTTATATTTAAAGAGATATTTTACCCCAGAAAGTTGCTCTTATGTGCTGCAAATACATCATTATATGACCGTTAGTGCTGCAGTGAATCACATCGTCCATGGACCATGTTTAGATCAGCAAAAAGCAGAGGAGACCACATATCATTTGATTTTCATTTATGTTTTCGAACAGATGAGGATGCCTTCATTTACTAGGCAGAGAGCAGACCTCATATCAGTTGAACATCAATATAAATGATAGAATATGATCATAGATTTTCAAATTTTCCCTTAACATTTCCAGAAAAGTTTTCCAGCCAACTCTCTGAACGTCTCGTCTGTAAATAACCCTAAATAAACTAAAATCTTCATTCATTCATTTTCCTTCGGCTTAGTTCCTTTATTCATCTATTCCAGCATATGTTTTACTCAGCGGATGCCCTTCCAGCTGCAACCAAGTACTGGGAAACACCCACCCAAACACCCTATCCTTTAATGCAGATTATCACAGATTATTACACGGCTGTCTGGAATATTAAATTCTGATTGGTCGGTTGCAGCATTCCAAGGTTATTCCCAGATAACAACCGCTAAATAACCCAGATCATCCAGGATCCAGTATTCCAGTCAGCCGTGTAGTTCATTAGTCTTCATTCGAGCACACAGGCCTGTCAGATGGAAACACTGAATAAAGACTAAATAAAGCAGATCGAGGAGATGATCAAACAGACAATAAGAGAGACATGCGGAAAGAGTTCAACACTGCAGATGACTGAACAGAGCCCTCACTGTGCTCAACAAGACATCCATTCAACAGAACAAACAACATCTACTCAACACACACACACACACACACACACACACACACACACACACACACACACACACACACACACACACACACAATACAACACCACTGATTCTGCTGTTATTCAGCTTTATGCTTTTATTTTGCACACAATGCATCTGCGCTGACCACTTCTGATGACAGTGGAACACTCAAATACTGAACATACACTGCAACAAATGCTTGTGTGTTGTTTCTTGTACAAATATCTACAAATTTTAAACCCAGAAAAGCAAAATAATCTGCCAGAGCGGCGAGTAAACTAATGTTACAGCAAAGAGAAAACTAGATTATTCTGCTTCCCCCATTGGCAGATTATTGTGCTTGTTTTAAGGAGAAACTCTCTTTATTTTGACTCATTATTTCTGAACACAAGACTACAGATTTTGATTGTCCAGAAAATTCATTTGATTTAAGAATTTTGAGATATTTGGACCAGAAACCAGACAAAAACTAGACACAATAATGAGTCAAAATGAAGTGAATTCTTCCCTAAAATGAACAAAATAATCTGCCAATGGGGGAAGAAAAGTGATCTTTTATATTGAGGAAAAATGAGTAATGATGATGATAATTCTGTCCTCTTTATTGTCCTCTATGGTTCTGCGTTTATATGAAACACAGTAAACAGGCGCGAGTGTTCGTGACGTAATCCACCATGCCACTGTAGTAAGGGCACAGCTGACTTCACATACGCAAGTAAAGGAAGATCTGAATTATTTCTGACATTATGCATTGTCATATAATCAAGAAGCATTAATTGTATATACAGTGCTCAGCATATATAAATACATTCCTCACTAATCTCTCTCTTAAATGCATATGTTTAATAGGAAGCTCTACAATATTATATCTGTGCATATACATTAGATTAGTCAGTGCTGAAGCCAAATCTGGAGCTCATCTAACAAAATAACTTACAAAACGATCCAAAAACTAGCACAGCCAAATGTATATGTTAGAGAAAAATATTAAATACAAATTTAAACAAGAGGGAAATCAAGAGACGCAAAATAGACAAATTGAGTTGAAATTTTGTAGGATGTCATTTATTTTTGCTATATTTTTCTTGAATTTAGCTGTATTATTTTTTGATTTCTAAATGAGTTTGGTGACTAAAATATTGTTTAAAAAAATACATCTGTTGAATAAATCTGTTTTGTTTAAATGCACCAAAATACACTGCCGATATTCACTGAAAAATTGAGGAAAATATTAATTTTCAAAATGGGCTGTACTCAATTATGCTGAAATCGATTATTAACAAAAACAAATAATTCAAAATACACTTTTCAAAATCAATGCACATCCATCGGCTGAATTTGTAATTCAATGCATTGAGAAAGTGAATTGTTACACCGCTATTTATTTATTTATTTATAAAGCTCAATCCAACATCAGTCGCTGTCGACCACCGTGCTGAACGCAGATTACAGAGAGATGATCAAACAGAAGACTAAAACAACATGCAATACATCAAACATGAAACATATAAAGGAAAAAGCCTGCTCTGATGACTCGGAGGCCTTTTCTAATGTCAAATTTCAGTTTCTCTTGAGCATGGATTCTGTAGAGATTCTGTGGGTCCGACAATGGCAAAAGCGCGGTCTCCCTTTCACTTATGCTTCTAGGTTCATGATTCTGTAATCTTTAATTGTGTCAGTAAAGCAATGTTTCTTTGCTTAATTTAATTGCACGTTCATGCTAATTATCTGTGTTTCTATGTATAAATGTGGGCTATGGTTGCTGTGAGGGTGAACGACAGCTCTGTGCTTTGTTTTTTCAGTGTGATCCCTGTCCTGCAGGCACTGAGGAAAGTGCTGAACAGATGTTTTAGTAAGCTGCAGGCCAACAGCAGTGTGCTGAACAGCATGGGAAACACAATATGCAAATCACACAGACTCTACAGGCCTTCACTTGTCGCTGAACGCCCCAGGGTCCCGCTCGCAGCACAATGTGTGCTACAAATAGAGCTGGATGATATTGGAAAATAAAACTGGACATCGTGATATTTGGTTTTTCTGCAGTAAATATTGTGATATACAGCTGAAGTCAGAGATTTTAGCCCTCCTGGTATATTTTTAATTCTTTGATATTTTTTCCCAAAGTTCTGTTAAACAGAGAAGATCTTTTCAACACATTTCTAAACAAAACAGCTTTAATAACTCATTTCTGATTTCATAACTGATTTCTGCAATGATGACAGCACATAATACTTTACAAGACATTTTTCAAGACACCAGCATAACTTAACACTTTTGTAAAGATCGTACTTTCAAGATTGCAAAATTCCCACAATAAAAGGATTCATGTTTCTGTCTTCATCCTCGTGTAATGTCATGTAATACTGTGCTCTGATAAATATTATAAAAGTATTGCCGTAAACAATGTATTTTGCGACACCACAGCAGCACAAACACCACAGCGTAATATGACACCATATACCTTATGTATTGTCCATACTCACTCCGGGCTGTTGATATCGATGTTGATATTCAGCTGCACCATGCTGCTGTTTTGGAACATCTCATTGTTACCAGGTGGGTCATCATTAGCCTGGAGGACCAGGACACACACTCATACACTACAGACAATTCAGCTTAACCAATTCCCCTATAGCGCATGTGTTTGGACTGTGGAGGAAACCCACGCCAACACGGGGAGAACATGCAAACTCCACACAAAAATCCCGCCCATTATGTATTATATATAAATAAATATACAGTTGATGTCAGAATTATTAGCCCCCCTTTAAATTTTTCTTAATTTTTCTTTTTTATAAATATTTTCCAAATGATGTTGAACAGATTCAGGAAATGTCTGATAATATTTGTTCTTCTGGAGAAAGTCTTATTCGCTTTATTTTGGCTAGAATAAAAGCAGTTTTTAATTTTTTAATCAACATTTTAAGGTCAATATTATTAGCCCCTTTAAGCTTTATTTTTTTCGACTATCTACAGAACAAACCATCGTTATACAATAACTTGCCAAATTACCCTAACCTGCCTAGTTACCCTAATTACCCTAGTGAAGCCTTTAAATGTCACTTTAAGCTGTACAGAAGTGTCTTGAAGAATATCTAGACTAATAGTCATCATGGCAAAGATAAAAGAAATCAGTTATTAGAGATGAGTTATTAACACTATTATGTAATAATAATAATATTATATTACAATATTAATAATATATTAATTAATATTAATATATTAATAATAATAATAATATATTAATTATAATAATAATAATATGTACTCCCCGCTAAACATAAAATGGGAAAAAAATAGATAAAATTATATATTTCATTTATTTAATATTATATATATATATACACAAAATTATACTGCACAGCCCTATTAAGGTCAGAGAGGTTTGTCATTGTTTTATGAAGAAAGCTGTTCTGCTGATCAGAGGCTGTTTTTGAATATGGAGGAAGACTGCCTTTCACACATACTGCAGCACCACAGCACGACACAATAAAGCCTAAAACAGAAGGATGCCCCAATAGCTGCTCACATTCCCAGCATGCCTTGAGATCAAAACAATGCAAAACTAAGATTTCAGGTCGGGCCTCATTCCCTGTGCTCTTGTAGACTTGCTGTTTTTGTCTTTAGCGGTGCTGCTTTTGGGCATAAATGACCTCCTGCCATTAGAGTTGAGTGTAGAGTCAGTTTACAGTTCTCAATGTAACGCGGCGCTCCAGCCGCTCTGAACAATCCTAAACACACACAATTATTCAACAGAATATTCTCACATCAAACATTTAGTAGGAATTCCAGCGGCATCATCTTATCTTATCTGCAGCACTGCAGAAATGCTGCTCCTCATTTGAGTTTGTGTCTTGTTTCTAGTCCAAACATCTGAACATTCAGAAATCATGAAGCATTTCCTAGACAAGCAACAGATATTGACTTGTTTTCAGAAATAATATAACAAAA